AGTATAACTACAGGCATGAAATACATGGCAGATTTCCTCCCAAAGAATGACAATACAACCCCGAACCCTTAAGCTTTTTTAAGCTGAAACAACGAAATTTGTTTGTTTGGTTGTGGCAGCATCAGGCGGGCCAGATTGAATTACCAAACAGGCCGGTTTCAGACCGTGTCACATAGTTTGCCCAAGTTAGGCTTTAACCCCATCGTTTTAGATATCCCTGTCTCACACTCACCTGTTCAAGTCTTGTAAAATCCTATTTGCATGTCCATTAGTCTTCACTTTAATTTCGAAAGGCATTTTACTGATATTTCTAACTATTGACTCTGTAATTCAAAGCTAAATATGACAGGAATAAAACAGTTATAAATAGCCATGTAGAATTTGTCATAGGTATTCAGAATACAATTTAAAATGTATAGCTAATTTCTCTCAAACTAAAGTCTTACTTTTTAATTAAATTAAATTAAAAGAGAACAGTGTATCGCATCAGGCTTAATATTGGGAATATGCCCGCCACCACACCTTTGATTACCTTGCGCAAGAGTGCAGGTTCGAATCCTCTGTGAGGGATAATTATGTGCGAGAGGATTGCTGGACTCCTCACGGCCGTGGGGTGGTTCACGTAACATTAACCACTGGTTGGATTTGCCTTCTTCCACCATCAAGTTCATGCATCTGAAAATGAATAACTGGCTGACTAATCCCACACCCGACATGGACTGGTAACTGTGGTCCATATGATTGAGCCATATTACTGACTTTCATAAGAGAATAAATATGTAAATCCTATTCTATCCTAAAAATCAAGTATTGAAATGTTCAATCAATTACTTCATTATGATTTACTGACTTTTCAGACCCGGCTTTTGGGACCATGCTGGTTTATAAAACATTTGAATATATTTTCTAAAGTAGTGGCGGATTTATGGTAACCTGTCGGACATCAGTATTAGTACACTCCAATTTATCAACTGTTTTTCTAGTTATATTGAGCTCCTTCAAGCCTTGTGTCATTCGGTATTTACTAAAACCTAATTAACCACTATAATTCTTTACCATGTCAACTGCTCTTGACACCCCAGTGGCCGCCTGTAAAATATCAAAAAAACACCCCTTTTGCTTTGACTTTGTGCGCATGACCTTGTTTTGAAAAAATTTTCTCATAATAAAAAATAGTATCAGTAGACGTCTTCTCAGCTTCCATCCCTCTCCCGGTGGTTATAGTTCAGCTATCTTATCACTTTCCTCTCTCTGAGAATAAATATTCAGTCTGGCAATGTTGAGGCCAAAGTTCACGATATTCCTGATTGTTATAAACATAAATCCACATTGCAATCGAAATCCAAATAAAAACCGACAATAACCAATTCTTCACAGATAAATGTGATGTTTCGTGCATAAAAATAATCCAAATATAACGATAACAAGTCCGCCAAACTCCCTCCCCACTTCATCATGCACCACCCAGTGGATGAAATTATTCTGATAGTTTTGATGAAACAAATACGCAGATAAAATAGTTCCAAAGAAAATATATCCAAAGTCAAAAACTTTTATGAATTTTGATTCAGATAGCGACGGCTTAAAACCAATTAATCCAGAAATGATAGCAGGAGCCAGATATACTGGAATCCATAGCTCAGGATCTGGGTCATTGTATTGTACAAATGCTGACAAAATAAAGAAACTTGCAGCAATGAAATTGAGAATACGAAATATCACAAAAGCTAGCATTATTAAATTTTAAAGATTAGATTCTGAAAAATAGAAAACAGTCTTCAGGTTAAATTTGTATCATACGTAGGACAAACATAAAACTCTGAACTGTTCAACTTACGATTTGACCTAAAGACAGCATGGGAAACTAGAAAGTTGCGGCAACAGCACTCTGACACATAAGTATTGGGATTATTCTGACCAGTCATGCTTCAATGATTCCCATTCCCAAACATGTAAATACCAGTGTCGAGTAGAAGTTGCATTTCAAGTCGAGTCACAGGTTATTCGAAATTCACATTCGAGTCACAATGTCTTGTAAAAGTAATAATAACAGATTTCCTAAACAACAGTGAAATGGATAAATATGAGTTGCAATGACACCAAGAAATGAAACCTGCTTATATTACCTTGTCCCATTCTCAACAGAACGTACAGTGTTTTTGCCTACAATTGCATAGGAAAAACGATAGGCTAAGCATACTCTAATACAGTAATTCCCAATAATAAAAAAAATTTGTAATATTTATAACACAAGGATATGCTCACATGAATGAACAACATCTACTAATGAATAACACCTAAATACTTTATATAAACTAAACAATGATATCTACTAGAAAATGAAAGAGGCACGCCGGCAATTTTTACTAAGCTTTTTTGAAAAACAAGGGTTCTGCTACCCATAGGTTAACAAAAGTTTTGTGCTGAGATAGATTTCTATATGATTAAAAGGATTTTGGATTTGTTCAGTTATAAACAACTTTACTAAGATTTGACCTTGACCTAACATGAAAAACCAAAAGGTTAATATCGTAGAAGTAGCAGCACAATCACTGATATATTAAGTTTAGAATATTCTGGCCAGCCATGCCTCAATAACTATCATCAGGTTTTTGGGTTGAATCACACTAGACCGAAATCAAAACTTAAATCAGTCTTCAAACGGGAAATAATTCCTCTGATTTTAGACTTGTTCAGTGCTAGTCAACTTTACCGTGATTTGACCTTATCCTAACATGAAAAACCAAGTGGTTAGAAATAGCAGCACAATCACCTTTAAATTAGAATGAGAATATTCTGACCAGTCATGCCTCAATAGTTAGAATCCAACTAAACCAGATTCAAAACTTCAATCTGTCTGTGAATTGGTAACAATTCCCCTGACAATTTTTAGTCGAATTAACAGCTCGAATTTAGGAAAATATTTTCTATACAAGGATAAAAGCTGATAGCTCAGAACAGTAGTATGAAATATTGAATATATTTTAATTCTGTAATTCGAAATTTGTTAAATTCAGTGAAACTAGAACAAGCAATTGCAAATATATAATTCAGTCAGAATACAGGAATAGGGTGGTTCAAATTCATCGGCGCGGCGGTGTGGCTCAACGGGCTAAGCATTAGGAATACGCTCGCCACCGCACCTCTAATTACTCTGCATGGGTTCGCAGGTTCGAATCCCATGCAGGGATGGTTATGTGCGAGAGGATTGCTGGACTCCTCGCCGTCGTTGGGTGGTTCACGTAACCGCTGGTCGGTTATGGCTTCCTCCACCACCAAGTCCATGCTTCCGAAAACAAACAATACAGTAAAACTAATCCCATACCCGACTTGGAATGGTAACCGGACGAGAGGCCGTGGTTGGCCATATGGATAAGCCGTCTTATCGGCTTTCCTCTCCCCCCCCCCCCCCCCCCGGGATAAATATGTAAATCATATCCTAAATAACTGCTGCTTCAACTTTCTCCTCCACTGAGTCCACGCATCTGAAACAAACTGACTAGTCAATTCCATACCGGTACCCGACATGAACTGGTAACTGGACGAGAAGCTGTGGCTTGCAATCGGCTCTCCTCTACCCCGAAATAAATATGTAAATTCTATCCTTTGTCAATCATGCTGAAGTAATAACATTCAGTAGGCCTACCGTACTTTCCAAATTTCAATTCAAACAAATATGTGGTTTTTCTGTTTTTACGGTAGTAAGTAGTTAGGAATATCAAAATATACTTATACTAATACCAATATTATATTTATAGTCTATATCAGATAGACTTCTGGTAACTTCTGGTGTCTTTGCTTTCTAATTAAGCGAATTTGATAAGTATCTGACTCCAAAAACAGAATATATAGTAGGTTACGTGTTCAAATTGAGATATCTGTTAATTTTATATAACAGTAAGGATCTGACCAATTTGCCTGTAAAGATTTTTATTTCCACGGATAATATATCACAATAAATTTACTTACAATAAAACACACTCACAATCGTGAAAACCAAGTCGGTGATGAATCAGCATTGTTGCATCGAACGAATTGAAATAGACAAGCCGGTTGCTGTATCGAACGAATTGAAATAGAAAAGCCGGTTGCTGTATCGAACGAATTGAAATAGAAAAAGCCGGTTGCTGTATCGAACGAATTGAAGATAGAAAAGCCGGTTGCTGTATCGAACGAATTGAAATAGAAAAGCCGGTTGCTGTATCGAACGAATTGAAATAGAAAAGCCGGTTGCTGTATCGAACGAATTGAAATAGAAAAGCCGGTTGCTGTATCGAACGAATTGAAATAGAAAAGCCGGTTGCTGTATCGAACGAATTGAAATAGAAAAGCCGGGCAAACCACGATCAAAATGTCTATTTAAACGGTAACATCTTTTTCATCTCGCTCGCCAAAAACGGTACCTTTCTTTATTATCCAAAAATCTCGTTTCCCACGGAGCAATTTTTGCTCATATCTAGAATGTTCGGTACCCTTCTTACAATAATTACACTTGTTTATAGGTTACCTGACATGGGAAATATCCATTTTCTCATACACGAGAAAGATCTAGACTCAATATTTCGAATGATCTAGAAAGATCTCTTCAATATTTCGGTTGTTTATGGGTCACCCGACATGGGAAAATATCCATTTTCTCATACACGAGAAAGACTAGAAAGATCTCTTCAATATTTCGATTACGTCAATTATTATATAGAATTTGACTTCCATTATCCAAATTATTGGTTAATTTGTTACACATTCCTGGCACCACAAGTGAAATATTTTAAAAGCACATATTAAAAATTAACCGATAATTGTAGAAATATAAGAATGAAATCGAAATTATCATGACAGTAATCAAATCTCGTAACTTTTGAAGATGGCAATTTGAAATGTCAAAGTAATTTGTTTGAAAACTGTCGGATGAAGAGCAAAACATCCACTACGAAGAGCAAGAAAAAATGGTCGAGTGTAATTAATCAATAAGACATAAGACTCAGAAACGACAAGACAAATTCCTTAATTTTGGTTATTTAAAATGGCAATTGAAAGATTTATATACAAGAAGAAAAACATGAAATTTGAGCACTAATTATACATGCAAGAATTAAAAACATACAACTTAAGAACTCATTGTAGCCCCATTTATTATGATTCTGACTTGGGGTCTTTTCAAATTATAAGGATGAGACATTTGTATTGTGAAAGGCATTTGAATTGTGCAATTCAGTGAAACAGTAATGGTATTATTATACCTTCTTCTCACCTACACGACTTTCAAAATTGTGAGCACTTGTTTAATGTACGATTTACTATTAGATAAATTAGGCGATAATGACTTTAAAAAATGAAGAAAAGATGGTTTATTGATTCCCAAAAACAAAAAAATCTTACAATATGACTGTATTGTAGGTCTTTACGTTATCAGTGTTAAACCTTATTAAACATAAGGCTTTTTGGTAGGTCGTTACGTTTCAGTGATTGCAACTAGGTAGGTCTTTACGTTTCAGTGATTGCAACTAGTATTGTTACTACTCATTCTACATTTAATTGTCTGTACCATTTGCAATAAAAATGGGGGGGGGGGGGAAGATTTAGATGTAAAACACAATAATTTGTCATGAAATTTGAAAAATACAACAAATAGACGAGCGTTGTAAAACCAATAAAAGAATGCAACAATAAAATTAATTTTGAGAAATCGGTACCGTGATATTTCCTATTAATCTCATAAATTCAATAAACTGCAGAAAGAATTAAGATAACTTTTGTGAAAACTTTGTGCACTTTATTTGGAGATAAAACTTGGTGGAGAAAACAAAAAAAAATGATTGGAGTACTCCATTTGGGGAATCATTGGTTGAAAAAAAATGATTGAGGGAAAAAAATAAGGCTTAAAAAACTTGTGAGCCTTTGGATCCAAAAAAAAAAAATGTTAAAAAAAGGTATTTATTTTCTTGATTATAATTTCTTGATTATGTAACCTGTCATTGTCTTTTATCAGGTCATAAGTTTTGTTTATCGCCGCGAGCGCTATAAATTTTTATTTATTCGCTTCCGCTATCCGACACGAGATTTAAGACCTCGACATTTCCACCATTGCTTCTGAGGTGTTGCATAGCATTGGCCCTCTCGTTTGCTGGGGGAGCTCTTTGCACCGGTGCCATAGGACGAGCTGTGGATGATTGGCCGATGGGGGTTCGGCTTCTGGCTCCGCCACGGGACGACCAGAGACGGTCCCATCTATCCCTTACTGGGGTACGCGTGACTCTCGGTTGGTGGTGGACATGCGTACCTCTGGAATGATTTCCGTTCGGTTCACGGGAGCGGGTACGTCGATATCTGGGGCCTTCCTGTTCTCTCGGAGTGCTTGTACGTCTGTCGGGAGGAGAGGGACGCCCCCCAAAGATTCTATCCCTTATTCTTCTCCCGACAGAACTTCGGATTCCACTTCCAGCCAAAGTTACAGTCCTGCCGTAAGCAAAAATAATAGACAGAATTAGCCCGATCAGTATTACAATGGCAAGGAATTTATTGCCTATTCCACTAAGAAAAGATATCAATATTTTTTTAATATGTTTAGCTAGTATTTTCAGGGGAAGTGCAGGATTAGCACTAGTTGTTTCCTGTTCGTCATTAAAAGAATTGGCATAGTCAATTAGACTTTTAGTAAATATGGAATTCTGGCTTATGGACATTAGCATTGAATCTATGTCGTTAGAACGCGGTACGTCGTTCTTGAAGAATTTTGACAATGAAGTAAGATAATTTGTATTGTAAGGATTTATTTTCTTAGTTGTTAGGTAAGGGTGAATTTTCTTTGGGTTTGTGGTTTTGTTTTGTAGAATTCCCTTTTGATAGCTATAATAAGTGTTATTCATTTTAAAGGTAACGAACTCCTGTGGTTCGGTACTATAAAAGTTTATACCTGGAAGAATTCTTCCCGAAGACAAGTATTGGGCGATAACTGTAGTGTTAGTGTTATCAGTATAGTTAACTAAGGGACGAGTAGAATATAACTCGTTAGGTAATATTAGACTATTTAAGAGACTCGCTTTTATGGGTTGACACAAAAGGGTGCCCAGCACGTCGCCTCTGTTAACCGCAAAGAGATTATTTGTTCCCAAAATTTCGTTCAACACATCCGACGGGTACGTTTTCGCTAAAACTCTATAAATTTTAGATAATATTCGTTCGGTCTCACATTCCAATTTAAAGATTTGGCTCTGTAATTTCGCGGACAGAGCGGTTTGTGAGTCTGCGACATTTTGTATCATCAACGTTAATGCCGTCGAAATGTCTGCGTGATCAGCAAACTCACGTAACACGTTGACTTTCTTTAATAAACTACAATTCTTGACTTGAACCAAAAGTTCGTTTTCAAGGCAGAAAATACTGCCAAAGCAATCAGTCGTTAATTCGTTACACACTGAAAAGGAATGAAAGGTCATATGTAAATCGTTTAGTTCTACAGCATATATGTCATTAGTGTTGTTTACATGTGCAGTTAGCGAAGAGTTTATTTCCTCCGCTTTGTTTGGACATTTTTCGAATTTTGCATCGTCAAATAAAAGTGTATAACTACCAATTTGGCAGGAAGATTGATTTACAGAGCAATTTGCGCTGTCAGCTAGAGGAAAAATAATTTTTGAGTTTAGATGGTCATACATTACATAGGATGTTAATAGGGCAATATTTTCAGTTGTTCCGGAATCAGTTGTGGGCCATTTATAGTTGATAACCGGTTTATTCTCGGTTACCCATAGATCATTGGTTTTCTGAACAAACTTACCGAATTGATTCGATTCGTGAGTCTTAAACCAGTTTCTGCAATTTTGTTCGGACGAAGGTACTCCTGATTTTATTTTAGTAAAGTGAGTCTTAGCTCCAAAGAAATAAAAGTGACTTTTCCATTCAGTTATACTAGTTTGGCAAGCTCTAATTGGAATTTTAGTATGCAATTTAGGTGCGTGATAGACTTTAGCTTGACATTTCACTATGTGTTCGGATTTGTGTTGTTTGCAAGACTTATCATCCGATATGTCGTACTCTTGATTGATTTTGTCATTTTGGCAGATATAGCCATGAACCTCTGGATTTCCAAAACATAGCCATGGTAATTGCATAAAAACTAGAAGTAATAGTATAATGGATAAATACCTGAATTCTTGATAAAATTCTTGTCCCACCATCCTGCCACGTTTCAAATAAATGATTTCTCTATCGGATTTGTCGGTCCGGGTTATTTCGTCATTGTCCGAATTTTCCTCTTCCTTTTCCTCTAGACTTCCGTCTCTGCCTGTCCATACCGGTCTGGCGGACGTACTGTCCGGCCGTATCTGGTCTTGGGCTGGTTCTCCTTCTTCCATAGGATGTCCTCTGTCGTTGGACTCGTGAATTCTGAAATAAAAGGTTCATTGTTATTCTTGGGAGTAATTACTGTTTTTATTGGTGGTTTTTCAATTTCAGTGAGAAAATTTTGGTTTTCCACGTCATGTTTTTGTTCAGGACGTTCTTCCTTATCTGTTTCAAAAATAGTAATTTCAGCAGGTTTTAATTGGTTAATAGAAACTCGTTCTATACCCTTATTTTTTTTTATAGTGAAAGCAGTCTTATTTCGAAATATCACTTCATATGGCCCCTGATAGTTGGGTTGCAAAGACTTTTTTACGTGATCTATTCGTTGAAACACATGACTACAAGTGAACAACTTTGGTGGAATATATACATTAGACCTTAATTTCTTTCTTGTTGGAAGAGCTTTAAAATTTCCAAAAAAACGTTTTAATTTAGAAACATAACTGTAAGGGTCAAAATCTTGGGTTATGTCAGAACTTTCCACTAATTCTCCAGGGAGTCTCAGTGTTCTCCCATATGCAAGTTCGGACAATGAAAATCCGTTTAATTTCGGAATGGACCTCAAACCTAAAAGGACGTATCCCAAGTTTGATGACCATTCACTAGGGTTTTCCTGACACTTCAAACCAAGTTTTAATTCTCTATGAATTCGTTCTATTTGTCCGTTTCCCTGCGGCATATATGGCAATGAAAATTTATGTTTTATTCCTAAAAAATTCATAAATTGAGCCCAATTTTTACTTCTGAAAGAGGAGTAATTGTCACTCTTAAGGAGAGTTGGACACCCAAATCTGGCAACCCAATGCAATAAAAATGTATCTATAAGAGTTGAGGCGGTCAGATCACATATCGGGATCGCCTCTATCCAACGTGTGGTACGGTCAATCATCGTAAAAATATAAGTAAAACCTTTGCTTGGTACAAATGGTCCAACAATATCTATTTGAACCTCTGAAAATCTTTCATTAGGAATAGGAATAGATGACAGTTGAGATACAGTGTGTCTAAAGATCCTGTTTTTCTGACATTTCAAACAAGATTTCACATAATTTGTAATATCTGCATGCATTTGTGGCCATACGTAACGTTCTGAAATTAAATTATTGGTGCTTTTAATACCTGGATGACAAAGGTCATGTATTTTGTCGAAAATTCTCCTACGTAAAATCTTGGGTATTATAGGTCTAGCTTTCTTATGTTCCAAGGATACGTCACATAGAATAACTCCACCCATGTTGTCTATGGCTATTTCTGCAAGCTTGAGTGAATGGCCAGAGTTTGCTTTTAAACTTTGTATTTCTTTACAGTTTTCTTGCTCTTTAGCTATTTCCGTTAAAGGAATGGCATCTTGTTGTTGATAAATAATATTTACAGTTTTATTTTCTAGAACATTTCCATTTTCTATCACAGATTTATTCTCTACTCCACACGTATTATCAGTTCCGCGGTTACGTTGCTCAGATGGCGTTATGTCAGACATCGCGTCAACGGTTTTACACGCTTCACCGGTTCCTTGCGTCTGCTGTCTGCTTGCGTCGGCTGACGTTACGTGCGTCATTGCGTCGACTGATTTATTCGCTTCACCGGTTTCGTGCGTCTGTGGTTCGGATGACGTTATACGCTTCGCTGCGTCGTTGTCCTTGACGACCGCTGTTTTTGCTTCGCGCGTCTCTATTTCGTCCATTGTATTAGCTTTTTCTGTATTAATTTTATCATTACTTTGGCTATCATTATTTACATAGCGAGAAATAAAATCGGCCACTGGATTACTTGACCCCGGTATGTGAGAAAACGAGTTTGTCATACTTGTGATGTAATCCAGTTGACGGTTTTCTCTGTCGCTGGGTCTATTTGTCGGATTATTTAGTGCCTGAATTAACGCTTTGTTATCGGATAATAATTGAAATTGTCGACCGATTAAAAGATTTTTAAAGTACTTAATGGTTAAGTAACAAGCCATTAGTTCTTTGGAGAAAATAGTATAGTTTTTCTCTCGCTTGTATAGAGTTTTTGAAAAGAACCCCAAGGGCTGGTTTATTCCGTCAACATATTGTGTTACGGCCCCTGCAATAGCAGACGAACTTGCATCACATATTACCGTTATTGGCACATCAATTCTTGGGTGTGCTATCATGCATGCGTTAACCAAACACTCTTTGATTTTATGAAAGGCAGCATCACATTCTGCTGTCCAAATTGGTTTTTGACGTTTGCGGTTTTTATCTGAGACTAATTGAGTAATCGGATAAATTATCTCAGAATATCTGGCTATATGTTTCCTATAAAAATTGCACATGCCTATGAATTTGCGACATTCTGTAATTGTTTGTGGTACTCGAAATTTTTTAATAACCTCGACTTTGTCTCTGATTGGTTTTATTCCATTTTCATCAAGTTCGTAGCCTAGATAAGAAAGATTTGACTTTCCAAACTCGCATTTTTTTAGGTTTAGTGTTAAACCATAGTGGTTTAGTCGTTTAAATACTTGATCGGTTACTTTCAAGTTTTCCTCTTTTGTTTTAGTGTAAATTAGTAAATCATCAAGATAGACAAAAACATTTATCAATTTCATTTAAATTTCTAAATTCTTCTTCTGCATGCAAAATTGTCTATACTAAAAAATTTGGTATCGGTACCATTATACTGTTATGTTATATACAGATATAAGTCTTTACGAGACTACTTAACATCCCAGACCGCCAGACCCAGAATTTACAGCATTCAGGATCAGCTTTATATATATTTACTGCAAGGTTAATACTGGCAATTTCTCAGCTATCATAAATGTATACGAACATTTGAATCATTAGGATTCTATTACATTTAATTTTATTTAACTGAATTTTGCTGTTTTATTCCAAGCGCGGCACTTTTTTACTCCATGTAAATTATCCACGGATTCCAGCAAATACAGAATTATGTGTCCTTTATCATTTTAAAATGAGTTATAAGCATTGCCCGATTTTGAATCTTGTCATATTTTTGTATACTAGTATTATTTTATTTTTTGGTGGGTGGGAGCGTATTTGTACGTTTTTTGATTTACATTATGCTCGCCTTTTAGGTATTTCTGTATTTGTTGTCTGTTTTCGGTACTTTTTGTGTTGTTCCGTTTTAGGTCAGTGAGCCGAAATAAAATGATTAATTGAAACATACATACAACATACAGACATACAGGTTACGTACCGGTACGGTACCTATACAATTCTACAAACTGAACAATTGCCATTGGACTATGCTAAAATGCAAACAATGCACCACAAAGGTAAAGGGGTCATACCGCCGGTAACCGGTACCGGACACCGGTATGAGTACACAGCGAGTATTACAAACTTCAAAGAGACCATAGGTCTGTAAGTAAGAAGCAGTCTCAATTTGAAGTAACAAAACGGCCTGCGAGTTATTATTATTTTTTTATTGGTCAAAGAGAACTCCAGTGCCAATATACCTAATGAGTCATAATAACAATAGAATAATAATAATAATAAAATAGCAGAACTTTTTAGAGCATTCAAAATTCATCCTACACGGGAAATTAATTGTTCGTGCGTATGGAAATAATTTCTAACTATTGGTTTGACAATTTTTTATACCTTTTTTGCCAGCTGTGTATTTATTGCAATTTAATCATTCTCCCTCAAAATATAATATTGTTTGCTTCGTACCAGTTGTATGAGTTTTATTATAGTGCGACAAAGCTCATGGGTTAGTCGAGGTTATTGGCTCATAATGGCCATATTTAATTAAAACGGCTCAATAATATTAGTGATATTACGATTACCAGTCTTACGATTACTGTTATGAAATTTGATAACCATCTATTTATTCTAAATGCATGGACTCGATCGTGGAGGAAGCCTTAGCCGACAAGCGGTTACGTGACAAACTTGCGGTCTTTTTAGCGAAGCTTTGGTGGTTAAAAGTAGTTTCGTCCGGGTCCCATTATTATAAAACTCGAGTGACCCATCGAGTTTTTTGCATGTATTCTATGTCACAAGCTGAAGTTATCTAAATAACGTGTCATATCATAAACCCTAGGGTCTGTATACCAACTTATGAACATTAGAGGATTGCTGGACTCCTCGCCGTCGTTGGGCGATTCACGTAACCGCTTGTCGGTTGCGGATTCCTCCACCACCAAGTCCATACTTCCGAAAACAAATACCTAACTAATCCCACACCCGACATGGAATGGTAACCGTACGAGAAGCCGTGGTTCGCCATATGGTTAAGCCCTATTATCGGCTTTCCGCCCCCCCCCCCCCCCCTCAAAAATAAATATGTCAATCCCATCCTATCCTAGTGGAAGAAAAGCGTGCGATCACCCTAAATATTTTCTCTTCTCGGTCGAACTACCGCAATCATCTTTGTTCATACTTCCTTCTTGTGGCCTGCACAAATCATTTTTGACCAACTTTTATGCAAATAGGGTCGACGGTGACCTTTGTTTGCGCATTATTGGCAGGTATGCGGCAACCAAACAATACTTTGATGAAATTTTGACTTATTATTTATGTCAATGACTCGGAACGTATCAATGAAAGTTTGGTCTCTTCACCGTTTTCGTCGATATTTGTCCCTTGAGTTCACACTTGATTTGTAAAATATCACTGTTATGTCTTTGCATCATGAAGTATTTTAGCGTAGCCCAATAAAAAGAAATTTTTATGACAGAAGTTTTTCAAAACTTCAGTTGCACGGTATCTCATAGCTGTTTACTGGCGCACAACGTTCCGCCATGATTGTATATGATTTCAATGATGGCCAGTACTTTGCTCAGACATGGGCCAATAAAAGCGTGCTTAAACGAAATTAGTTTTAAAATGCAGTCGTAAACAAACCAAAAGGCGGACGTATGTGAACTTCTTTGTCCATGTAAATAGGAGTCACATGGTTTTTCAAATTAACAGCGATTACTTGTATATATATCGCATATTTTATATTCATTTCATTGACAATATTCATAAGAATCTGCCCCGATTTCTGATTAGGAAATGATCCAACATTTTATTACAGGCCGCATCCCTGCTATATTATGTATGTACTTGAATATGTTATTGCGGCAGCTTGTTTTCTAGATCGACTTCCTTTTTATTGAATTCATTAGCTATAATCAATAAGATCACAGCGATGTAATAGTTGAAATTGAACAGTCGCATTTTACATTGGGACAGATTTTCAAGCTTGGTTATAAACAATTGCTTGTTTTTATAAAATCGAGTTCATTTGGTAGTTTCAGTGGAGTTTCGAGAAACGCCCCCCGAGAATAAAATAGACGACTAGGCTACAATTTTGTTTTAATTTCCGAGCTTGTAAAGATCATGCAATCATCGAACTAGAAATCACATGTACATATCTCATGAAATGGGATAAATATAATTTAAAATTGAAAAATATTACAAACTTATTTTAATTTCAGAAATGTAATTAGTAAAATTTGTGATCTAGAATTCCCCTTGTCCATGAATATGTTTTTATTTTTTGTCACAATAACGTACATTTTAAAGTGCAATCGTCTTTTCCGAGTTCAACAGCAATACATTCCCACTTGAAACTAAAGAAGCAAATTTTCGCTGCAAACCAAAGCAATCCTCCAAATTGACGTGGAATTTAAGAAATGGACAGATTAATTAATTCGTTAGATTATTTAATAAAGGTCTGTCACAATGTAAAGTTCAAACATTTGGAATGCATCAAACGTAATCAATTCAAACTATGTGATTAAAAAGACAGAGCGGCGGATCATGCAGTGGATTTTCAAAACAGATAAAAAGTGAAGAATTGAATTCAGCGTTAGATGCATGGTAGTAAAGTATTGATTGCATATATGCGATAAAATATACAGCAAAGATGAAAAAAATTACTCATCATCGAATATATTGGAAGCAGAAATAAACTTTAATAACCACAACATACATACAAAGATGAATGCAATTTATTGTATAAGTATTTTGCAAAAAGCACTGGAAAAGGTTTGTATAAAGTAAAACTATATTGAATATATTATATTGTGCGGTAAAGGCATCTGCTAATTTATAAATTGCAATTCATTTACGGATTTTGAATAAGAAATGATAAGTGAATTTAATCGAAGAAGAAACCGCTTGAAGAATGCACAAGGCAATATTTCATACCCAGATAATATCGAATCGCATAAAAAACTGAATAGGAATAATAAATCAATTTAATTTGTACTGGCCACAGGCTATATATAACACTCGCTTCCAATGACTCCTCGCCGTCGTTGGGTGATTCACGTAACCGCTGGTCGGTTACGGCTTCCTCCACCACCAAGTCCATAATTCCGAAATCAAATAACTAACTAATCCCATACCCGACAGCAGTGGCGTAGCATCCACCCCCGCGGTCGCGGGAGGGCCCACAGCGCAAAGGGGCCCAAGTGGTTAGAAATTAGAAATTTAAGCCGCAAAACCAAAAGCTGCATTGCAAAACCAGTTATGCACATCTTATAACGTTGATGTTGGTTCTGCTCAAATCGGTTATTTACGTAACAATGCCCGGGAGTCGTCGATTTTCGAGGTCATGTGGTTTGATCGCACCGGCGGCAAAATTACGAAGGCTGTCAGAATGATGTCGAAAGCAAAACCTCTTAGTGGCACACAGAAACGCAGAAAAAGGGCAGAAGAGGAAGCACGTATGAACAAAATTAGAGTAACCAAGATAAACGGCAAATTCTAGGTTACCATTGCCTTTTAATAGCGACATGTTATAGGGGGGGGGGGTCTTGCTACGGGTCTTGCAGGGAATAGAAACCTTAGGAGAGGCGTGGTTCGCCATATGGTTAAGCCCTATTATCGGCTTTCCGCCCCCCCCCCCCCCCCTTCCCCCCCCCCCCCAAATAAATATGTCAATCCCATCCTATCCTAGTGGAAGAAAAGCGTGCGATCACCCTAAATATTTTCTCTCCTCGGTCGAACTGCCGTAATCATCTTTGTTTATACTTCCTTGTTGTGGCCTGCAAAAATCATTTTTGACCAATTTTTATGCAAATATGGTCGACGGTGACCTTTGTTTGCGCACTATTGGCAGGTATGCGGCAACCAAACAATACTTTGATAAAATTTTGACTTATTATTTATGTCAATGACTCGGAACGTATCAATGAAAGTTCGGTCTCTTCACCGTTCTCGTCGATATTTGTCGCTTGAGTTCACACTTGATTTGTAAAATATCACTGTTACGTCTTTGCATCATGAAGTATTTTAGCGTAGCCCAATAAAAAGAAATTGTTATGACAGAAGTTTTTCAAAACTTCAGTTGCACGGTATCTCATAGCTGTTTACTGGCGCACACCGTTCCGCCATGATTGTATATGATTTCAATGATGGCCAGTACTTTGCTCAGACATGGGCCAATAAAAGCGGGCGTAAACGAAATTAGTTTTAAAATGCAGTCGTAAACAAACCGAAAGGTGGACGTATGTGAACTTCTTTGTCCATGTAAATAGGAGTCGCATGGTTTTTCAAATTAACAGCGATTACTTGTATACATCGCATATATTATATTCATTTGATTGGCAACTCTCATAAGAAGCCATTTCACGATATTTGATTAGGAAATGATCCAACATTTTATTACAGGCCGTATCCCTGCTATATTATGTATGTAATTGAATATGTTATTGTGGCAGCTTGTTTTCTAGATCGACTTCCTTTTTATTGAACTCATTAGCTATCAATAAGATTACAGCGATGTAATAGTCGAAATTGAACAGTCGCATTTTACATTGGGACAGATTTTCAAGCTTGGTCATAAACAATTGCTTGTTTTTCTAAAACCGAGTTTATTTGGTAGATTCAGTGAAGTTTCGAAACACTAGGCTACAATTTTATTTTAATTTGCGAGCTTGTAAAGATCATGCAATCATCGGAATAGAAATCGAGGCATGAAACCGTCTACCACATGTACATATCTCATGAAATGGGAGAAATATAATTTAAAATTGAAAAATATTACAAATTTATTTTAATTTCAGAAATGTAATTAGTAAAATTTTTGATCTAGAATTCCCCTTCTCCATGAATATCTTTTTACTTTATGTCACAATAACGTACATTTTAAAGTGCAATCGTCTTTTCCAGGTTCAACAGCAATAAATTCCCACTTGAAACTAACGAAACAAATTTTCGCTGAAAACCAAAGCAATCCTCCAAATTGACGTGGAATTTGAGAAATGGACAAATTAATTAATTCGTTAGTTTATTTAATAAAGGTTTGTCACAATGTAAAGTTCAAACATTTGGAATGCATCAAACGTAATCAATTCAAACTATGTGATTAAAAAGACAGAGCGGCGGATCATGCAGTGGATTTTCAAAACAGATAAAAAGTGAAGAATTGAATTTAGCGTTAGATGCATGGTAGTAAAGTATTGATTGCATATAAGCGATAAAATATACAGCAAAGATGAAAAAAAAATTAATCATCATCGAATATATTGGAAGCAGAAATAAACTTCAATTTATGAATCGCAATCCATTCACGGATTTTGATTAAGAAATGATAAGTGAATTCAATTGATGAAGAAACCGCTTGAAGAATGCACAAGACAATATTTCATACCCAGATAATATCGAATGGCATTAAAAACTGAATAGGAATAATAAATCAATTTAATTTTTACTGGCCACTGGCTATATATAACACTCGCTTCCAATGACATATGATATTGGTGACAAATTCCACATAACAAGGATATAGAATCCCACTCCAATTTGCTAAAAATTAACTTTAAATGATAAGCAAGCTAAATCAGGGCTGAGGAGTCGAGGCCAATGTTAGATTTATAAACTATGTTTTCCTGTCACTGAGAGCGGGAATCAAAATGTCCATCAACCAACAATTGTTTTTTTATATGGGCGTCGTTTCTGTCCGACTACACACTGTCATACTCGGAATTCACATAAAAATGCTACAAACAAATATAGGGTATTTAATACAAACACATCATTTAAAATAATTTCTTCACATCAGTAGTAAACATAGCTATGTCCAGTGAGTTGAAGTTTTCTAGGCAATGTCATTGAGTAATTACATTTAAGAAAACTATATAAAATAATAACGGTAAGTAATGCAAGAAATTATTATAGAAGTTTAAAAAATTTACTCAGTGGTAACACGAGCACCTATTAAATGTCAAATATCTTTCATACAATTCCATAATAGTAAGAATACAAACATAAACTACTAGCATGTCCTTTAATGGTAACACAAGGAACTGCTCCCTGTTATATACAATCAAATCACTTCAAATTAATCTTCACTGCATTGAGTATCGCCAGATTCATGTTCTTCATGTCAATCATCTCCCATTGATTCTTCTTGAAATCAAACTTTTCCATGCTTCCTGGTGAACTGAAAAATATAGAGAATATATTTCAGTTCTGCAAGACAAATGGTTTGTAAAGTGGTTGTTAGGCTACTCATTGAAAATAAATTTTTAAATTCTACAGTAACTCAAGATATGAAAAAAGTAAAAATGACCAGTTACCGCAGGTGGCAGACTCTGATTCAAACTTCATAGTCAGCAATATGATTATACTGCTTCTTCTATCCGCACAAAGAGCTCAAACCAAAAGCGATTATCTATCCAAAGTTATGAATACATTCACAAAAATATAAAGATTTCAGTTTATTTCTGTGAGCATCGACAATATGGACACTAGATTGGTACAACACTTATAGTGATGAACACAGGGGAACAAATATTTCTTTGGGAATAAGTATTTCAGAACAAAATCTCCAAAACAGAAGACCCTAGTGCAGGGGTGTCGCGACCCCAAATTGGATCGGAGTGATAAGTAGGTAGAGTCGCAAACAGGTCATGGTGTCGGTGGGGTCGCTGAGGTATGGTAAAAGTTTATTAAAAGTGATTATCGGAGTCGCATAACAAACATTACCTTGGAAAATTCTTTGGTATGCTGCCTGACATCATACATCCCCAGATATAGAAAATTGATTAAATTAAACAGTGACCACTCCCAATGACAGAGATTTTTTAATTTTAAAACTTTTTTTTTTTCGTAATTTCGGTATTTTTAATTAAAATCGAAAGTTTAAATGTTTTAGCTTCTTTTACTTGATACCACCACATGACAAAACTCAAAAGTCCAGTGACAGAATCTCTAAAGTTACATGTAAATTATATATATTGACCTGGGGTCGCACTGGACACTTGAAAGTTGTCTTTGGGGTCGTCCTGAGAAAAGCTTGGGAACTCCTGCCCTAGTGCCTACCATGTTGTAATAAATCTCAATAACTCTACCTGTTCCTTCCTCCAATTGCGTAAATATTTGAATCAATCACAAAAGCACTAAACCAGCTCCGCTTCGTTAACATGGGAGTTACCGTGGACCACACGTTCGTTGAAATATCATATCGTTCAACAGTTGTCAAGTGATTGTTCGCATATCCACCTGAACAAAAATAAACAGTTTGTTTATATCTGCTTGCAATTTTGCCAATATGATACAAAACAATGTTTATCCAACTTTTGACAATCTCACCTACACAAGACAAGGCAATAAATGAATAAAAATGGAATAGTGAACTAACATGATGGCAGGTAACAACTGCAAGGTGATGAATATAATGCGGAAAATTTTACTAGCCTGAACTGAAGATTTTGGAACTTGTTCAGTATGTCTGATAATCACTCTAAATTTCAACTACATATACGTCGTTACAGCCGTCTCTAGTAACATTACCAAATGTATTTATGAGTTTACAGTTTACACGGCTATTGGATTGACCTTTGCATTCGTGTAAGTATATAGGTATACAAACATTTGAACATGATTTGTCACATCACAATATAATTCTGCGATTTTGCAGAATAACATGTTTGGAATATTAGTAGTTCATGACGATGCTTACATGTTGGCATTGCCTTTGATACCTTGAAGCACAGTCATTGAAATATTCTGGTTAATTGCTTTTTTTTATGTAAAACTAAATATATTTTTTCTTGAGTCCTTGTACATTTTTAGCAACAAACACCAACCTACCTAGAACATATATTTTTCCTTCATTTTCAACAGCTGCGACATTGATTTTTGCTTCATACATGGATGCAACAAATGACCAAGTTGATGATGTTGGGTCAAATCTTTCTACTTGGTTGGTTGAACGACCTGATATATAGCCACCAATGCTGTATATACAACCTGGAATCATACAAGGATTATTACTTTCAAGTGTTTTCTGCATTCTGGTATTCCATGAAAACTTGGGACAACCTGATAAATCCGATATCTGTTGGCAGTCATTTTATATTTACCGGAAGTGTATTGCAAGTTTGTTTCAAAAAACAAAGCAACCACTGATACAAAACGACCCACTGGTCAGTGAAAAACGGAATTTTTTCCTGTTAGGTTCAGACCAGGGGTTGACAACAGACAAAGCTATTTAGCGTCCGCAACGTTATCCATTGTTGCCCATGTCAACACTCAGATTTATCCCCATCAAGAGTTGATCCGACAGTATATGTTTAAAAAGCCGCTCACATCAGCGAAATTACATGTTTTTATGCTCTTTTTAATGCGTTTGATACTTCGCTGTTATGACCGGTGCCTCTATTACTGTGAAGCAGAGAAGTTGGTTATATGGCCCAGCGACAATTCCAGTTATTACCCTATTGTATGACTGCCTGTTTCGAGCCACTTCAACGCAACTTCTAACCTCTAGCACCCAGTGCTGTTGAATCCGACAGTATATGTTTAAATAGTCGCCCACAGGGGTGAAATTACATGTTTTTATGCTCTTTTTGATGCGTTAAATACTTTCACCGTTTCGTCCGATGCCTATATTACTGTAAAGCTGAGCATTTATCGTTCCAGCTAGATTTTTGAAGTTGTTTATATGGCCCAGCGACAATTCCATTTATTACCCTATTATGTGACTGCCTGTTTCGATCCAGTTCAAGGTAAATGACATTTATTGGCGCTCCCGAAGTATGTGAACTACGATGGCGGGCCCCGGAACTTAGTATGTGTACCAGGTTACAGTTAGGCCATAATTTATTCCAATTTTCCTTATTTTAGTTCTATTACGAGTTCGGGGACTAGTCATGTATTTGTACCTGAAATTATGGCCTAATTCTAACCTGGTACACATATTTCGGGAGTACCCCTTTATTTATAAGACACCTTCTAACCTCTAGCACCCAGTGCTGTTGAATAACCACTGTTGAGATTTTTGTCTTTTACTTTTTCCCATTTGTTACTTGATGGATCGAACTTTTCAACTGATTTTGAGAAATTATCGGAAGAATCAACAACGTAGAGGTTTCCTGTAAGAAATTCATATCTAAGACATATGGTAGAAAGCAAATGATACTTGAAAAATAATAGAAGATAAAGTAAAGAACTATGCGCCTTAAGGCAAAAAACGGTACTCGTGGCATTTATACTAATATAAACCATGTCATAATAATATATAGGACATTAGCAATGGAAAACAAAACATTAACAAAAAATAAGAAAAAATTTTCATGGGATTTATATAAACACAAATAAACCACTAATCTTAAAACAGGAGTGTTAGTGTGTTGTATAATCAACTCAAATCCATTGGTCTTTCAATTCCGGATCTGCGTGTTTTAGCAAAGTAACTCAATCCTAACTATTTTGACAACCTTTGTTTTTACCCTTGTTTTGCCTGAACTCAAAAAATATGATCTTACGAAACAACCACTATTTCTTACACAGATGGATTGTGTTATAATTCTTCAATGGTGTTAATATGGAAATGTAAATTGTATTTTTAAACTTTGATTAAGTGACAAGTTTTGCAAATCAGAATAAAGTTATCAGTATTTTGTGCACAAAACGTTCAGAAGAATTGTGGGTCACCCACAATGAAGTGTGTAGTTACAATACAAGGCTTAACTGGAATAGGATACCAAATACTATTAAAATATGTTTTTCATTAAATCCTTAAAAAGACCAGTACTAAGAATTCTTGAGGTAACTTCACTCCAAACAAAACAGCAACAGGATATTTGAAAACCTCAATGACTAGTCGTTTGGCAGAGGTAACAAGATATTGTTTAGCAAGCAAACAAATTTTTGAATCAAATTCTTACCAGACAAAACAGTAACAGAAGTCCCATGCTTACACATCATATCATTCATTCTCTCCCAAGTAGCTTCACGATCTGAGTATTTAAGTCGATGGACAGATTGATCTTCCTTGAGAACATAAATGTAGTCACCAAGAGCCACAGCAGAAAAGCGAAATTCTGATCCAGGTAGATTCTGGAAAATATTAATAAACAAGATTACATTGAAGAAATGTTTGTTTAAATGTAGATAGATACGTGGGAGTGGTGGGATGAGAGAATCAAATACTAATCAAATTATTGTCCCAAAAAGGCCTTGTCCACATGGCATGGCACATAATGCTAAGCGGTAAGAATACGCTTGCCACCGCACCTGAGATTACCCTATGTGGGTTGGCAGGTTCGAACTCCATGCCGGGATGGTTATGTGCGAGAGGATTGCTGTACTCATTGCGCCGTAGGGTGGTTCACGTAACCGCTGGTCGGTTACGGCTTTCTCCACCACCAAGTCAATGCTTGCAAAAAACTAATCCCATACCTGACATGGACTGGTAAACGAACGAGAGGCCGTGGTTAGCCATATGATTAGGCCCTCGTATTGGTTTTCCTTTCCCCCAGGATGAAGAATTAAATCCTATATTACATACTTCAATTAAATAACAATGTGAAATAGTCAAGTAGGTAGCTGAGTTTCAATCTATCCTGAAAGGGAAAACTCGAAAGGCGATAGGATGGCCAAACACAGTCTCTCGTTGAAATGAAATTTGTGACGCAACAATACTATATGTTAATGCAGAACTACTACAACCACATCTTGCAATCCAATCTCAGAAAAACACAAGCTTTCAGCATTACTTTTTACCATCTTGAGTAATTTTCCATGTATAATACGATTAGACTGAGATACCAGAGTTCAAGGTTGTCAAATACTAACCTGCATTTTTGTCCAAGAATTATTCTGAAGATTAAAGCATTGAAGGCTCTTTGAGTTTTTATCGAACACTGCGACTGTAAGAAATAAAGTTTGTATCAGAAAGGAAAAGCAAAGACAACAAACCATAGAATCATACAAATCAGAACCAATCTACAGTTGCGTAAATTTCCCAGTTTTAGCTGACAATTGGTATACTTTATTGTCCACATGTTAATTCAACCTACTTGCTTCTTTTCCTTCTTGTTTTATGTTCTCAGCAGAAGGAACATCTGAAGCACAAACGTTTAAGCTGTCCAGCATAGATATGCATAGAGTCTGATAGCATTCATGGCATGACTTCACCATTGGCTGAAACAACCGAAAGGTGTTATGTCATTCCATAAATATTAAAGGATATGAGGAAATTTTTTTTATCTAGAATCTAGGAATATTTTACTTTTATTTTAAGAAAATTCAAACATTCACTCAATCACCGAAAAAAGCAAGAATAGGTCACAAAATTCTGGCACAAAGAGAGACTTTTTCAAGACTGAAATTCCAACTCCGAAAAAAAAAGTTGACTCGGACTTAGACTCTTGGTAATTTAAAAATAAGTTGCATTATTAAAACTTGCCAAAGTATGAGCCCTGGTCTTTTGTAAGATAATTTTTAATAATCTATTCAAAGTCAAAGTTTAAAAGAAAGATTGCAAGATGCATAAATAAAAGGTTCAAAAATATCAATTCAAAAATACCCGACCTCGTTTTCAACAAGGAATCTTCTATAAGTCACCGGTACTTTATGCAAATCAATGTAGTTGTTCAATTTCTTCAGAAGTTTTTTGCGATTTCTTTGCTCGTATTTTATCCAAGATATCAAAGCCTTTAGCTTGACACTTTCTGATGCCTAGAAAGAATACAGAACATCGAGAATATTGAATATAGCCGTATATTCAATACACCGTTTCCGATATGAAAAAGATCGCTACCGTTAGTGAGTTCGTGATCGTTGGCGAAGATGCTATTTCAGGCGGTCATAGTCTGGCAAGCTGTTTGACTTGATTGTGAGGTCGTAGTGACATTAGTCTTTGGATGACGAAGCCAGGTGAGTGTTAGGAATAGCATATGCAAAAATGTTTATGCCACGCCAAATATAAGTAATTGCCACGCTCATTTCTAAACTATGGCAGCGGCGAAACTTGCATTTGTTGTGTAATATTATGCTTTATTGGGCTTGCCCAGACTCAAATACCACGTGTGTAAAATGTACTGAATTTTGCACATGTGCAGTACTGTATTCTTTCTGTTATGAGAAACACAACAGGCTCTGCATGAAACTGGTTAAAGGTAACTTTTGGGGGCATGTCATTAAATTCACACAACATCAGGCGCGATCGACTACTCGAGACGTGGCGATCGACGTGTTGGCCACCCCTGCTATACAGTAAAGCAGTGCGTTCCACCAAGTCAGAAGGTTGAGTGGCTGCTTGTATCATGAAAAGAATCTAAAACCTTGTCCAAATGAGTGACTACTTCTATAAAGTCTTTTCAAAATGAAGGTTTGAAGCAAAACACTGCCAATACCTTGTTTTTTTGTGACTTGATCAATCCAACAAATCCTTTTTCCTCTGTTTCCTTGAACTCATCAAGAACTGCAATTTCTTCAAATTTATCCAGCATGAACTTCTCGCATTTTTCCATCAATTCTTTGTAATTGTACAGGTTTGCGATTCTCTTTGTCACAAAGAAGGATTCTGCAGATGATTCGAGATTTTGTTCAAGTGAATGAACGATGCTTTCACAGACATCTGTTTGAAAAAAAACATGCATGACGTTATATATATATTTAAACCAAGGCTTTCCAACCCGCAGCCCGCGGGACGCTTGCGGCCCGCCGGACTGTTTTTTGCGGCCCGCCCTATAAGTTTGTAAGCAGACTTCTTATGTTTTTACCATGTTGTATTCCAATATATAGGCTCAAGTATGTTTCGTGATTTTGGTGTGCCCTGCCATCTATCTACATTCGAATGCCGGTTCTTATTATTACGTATGTGCCAAGGCTTGCACCCTGGTGAACATCGACGTCAGTTTTTATTTTATTTCTCGCAGAACTGTGCGTTCTGTTCGACGAACTCGAAAGATATTGTGCAATTATTGAGGACGAACGCTGAGCGCAAGTATAGGAATGAATCTAAAACCTAAATTTGCAAATTAATTTCATTCTGATTGTTTTCTTACATGTCTGCTTTGATCGTCTTTATCGCCAACGTAAAATAAAAAGTCAACAATATCTTTAGTACTGGTCACGGTACTCGTTGTCCTTTCATGTTCGTATTTTTTTTATCTAATGTTTCGTCTAAATAAAATTTCAGAAATGTCGTCACTGCGTGTCCGTCAATAATTCTGATGAAATTGAAATAATTGTATTGCTGCATATTGGTCACAAATCAGTATATATACGCTATTTGTTCAAAAATCTTTGTCAATTAAATCAATTATTTTAATTGTCATTATGTTTTCCGGTGAGCTTCAGTTTAGTTTAGAATTTTTCTGGGGTTAGGGTCGGGAAAAGGTCCATTCGCAAGAAATGCATTTTGTTTTTAGTCTTGACGAATTCACCCAACGAGCAAGGCGCGGCATGAAGGAAACACTGGAATTTAATAAAGCCATGTTTCACTATCCACGAGGCGCAAAGCGAGGGAAACGTTGAAAAGAATTAACAGCTTTTCGTTAGCTATTCGCTGGAATGTAATGAACGGCGTTTTGCTACCCACGAGGTGCAAGACATAGCGAAGCGGCGTTAATGAACGAGGGCAAGGTAAGCGAAACGCTGGGATTTAATCGATGGCGTTTATCTGGCGCGGCGGTGTGGCTTAACGGGCTAAGCGTTAGGAATACGCTCGCCACCGCACCTCTAATTACTCTGCGTGGGTTCGCAGGTTCGAATCCCATGCAGGGATGGTTATGTGCGAGAGGATTGCTGGACTCCTCGCCGTCGTTGGGTGGTTCACGTAACCGCTGGTCGGTTACGGCTTCCTCCACCACCAAGTCCATGCTTCCGAAAACAAACAATACAGTAAAAACTAATCCCATACCCGACTTGGAATGGTAACCGGACGAGAGGCCGTGTAATTCACCAGTGTAAATATATTCTATGCATTGTTGCAGGGATAATGGATCAACTTCCTTCATTTCCACTTTACCAGACGCTGTCTCAGCATTCTGAAGTATGATGATACCAACGATTAAAACCACATTAACAAGGGTAACAGTACCAACTGTGAAAGAATTAGCTAACCGAAACAGTTTATGGCTGAGAAAACACATAACCAAGTATAAACACAACTCACATTATGAGCCAGCATTGCTTTGAAATAATCAGATCCTACAGATATAATATTCTTATGAACTGGGATTTCTTCAGAGCCAGCTATGATCATGAAATCACAATGATCTCGAGTTTCCTTCCTGCTTCTGCAAAATTAAATTTTAAATCAGCATCGCACTAAACGTGTACTCAAGGTCTGCTGGTTTATTTTTGGCTTCTGAGCTTAGTAACTGATGTTTTTTAGGTATGAACACTACCATGACACATTAATCCAGATACAGTTATGCGAGAATTAAATCTGTGTTATAGGGACTTTTAGATTGTAAAATTGAAACTTCAATTTCATACAAGGAAATCAAAATTGAAAAAGTTATAGGATGCCTACGGATTCTATTTGTATGAATTTTTTTGTATGAGGTATGAAAAAATTATAAGTCTAGAAAAAGAATTAGATGGTAAAAAGTTGGAGCCACTAATTTTCTGGTAGCTCAGGCTTCAGCTCCATCTCCCACCTCCATCCACAAAAAAAACACTGTGGCTACATGGACCCAGCTCTGATTAGTAGGGAATGAGTGTGTGTGCATGATCATAGAGATAAGCGATATCACAGTCGCCAATTCTGACTATACAAGAACAGCGATACCTCTGGGGTTGATCAAAAAATTCAAAACTGTTTCGGCACTCGAACACCCAAGCTTGCCGACCAGTGAGTGAGCGCTTCAGTAATATGTGAACCAAGATGGTGAACACCGGTATGTAGTATGTGTACCAAGTTAGGCTTAGGCCATAATTTTATTCCAATTTTCCATATTTTAGTTCTATTACGATTTCTGGGACTAACCAAGTGACTCCCGTAGTATTTGTATCTGAAATGATGGCCTAACCCTAACCTGGTACACATACTATGTTCCGCTGTCCGCCATCTTGGTTTACATACTACGTGACATGAGATGATGTAACCCGAACCGCTCAACTCAAAGATAAGGAAGACTCATCTCTGAGTAAAGTTATGGACCCGCACTCAGATAAAAAAATAAACTCATATCTGAGTAAAGTCATGGGTACTCACTCAGATATAAAAGACTCATATCTGAGTAAATCCATGGGCACTCACTCAGAGCCGAACCAGTGTGAACCTTACACGTCCAAAATAGTTTTAGTGTATCGGGAACCATTTTTGCGAAGAATAAGTTGAGTCACCCCATAAAAATGTTGAAATATAGGTCCAAGTAGTTAAACAGTAGAGAGCTTTATCAAGTCCCTGTACTATTTAAAATGAGTACCTACTCATTTACTCAGATGTAAAGAAGACTCATCTCTGGGTAAAGTTATGGACACTTACTCAGATGTAAAAAAGACTTATATCTGAATAAAGTCATGGGCAGTCAGTCAGAGGTAAAGGAGACTCAACGCCACTTAAGTCATGGACACTCACTCAGATGTAAAGAAGACTCGTCTCTGAGTAAAGTTATGGACACTCACTCAGATGTGAAGAAGACTCTTTTTTTAATAAAGTCACGAGCACTCACTCAAAGATAAGGGAGACTTATCTTTGATTAAAGTTATGGATACTCATTCAGGTGTAAAGAAGACTCATCTCTAGAGTAGAGTCACAAGCACTCACTCAGATGTAGAGGAGAATCATCTCTGAGTAAAGTCACAGGCACTCACTCAGTTGTGAAAGAAGACTCATTTCTGAGTAAAGTCCAAGTACTCACTCAAAGTTAAGGAAGACTCATCTTTGAATAGATAGAGTTATGGACCCGCACTGTTACGTCTAAGTACAGTACCTGAATTTCTCCTTAACCCCTCTCCGTGCGGTGGGACGTATACTTACCAACGACAAAAGTCGCGAGATTGCGGCTGGTTGATGTACTCCACTGTTTTTTTAGCAATCGGTCGCAAACTGTTCGTCTAGTTTTTCGGGGTTTTAGTTTATTGATAAGAAGTGTTCTTCGAGATTAACATAAGCGACAGTAAATGTCGCTTTAGTTTACGACGGGAATTTTATTTTCGCGGAACGAGGGAGTGTTTTTGAAATTTATGCAAATTTCGGTGTTTTTTGGGTGGTAATAGGAGACATATTATCCCTTCCATCTACCAAAGTATTTTGAGTTAGATCACGAAATTGCTACAGCAATATTATGCTATTGTCTGCCAACCACAAAGCGATAACAGTAAAGGATTTAGCGAATATTTCCATTTTTTATCACGGTTTGAAGTTTCAACTCCCAAGAAAAAAAAATGTCCTTTTTTCTATCCGGTTTGTGACTCAGACCACCACTTTTGAAAAAAAAACTTTTTTTTTAATCGCCAATTGCAAGCTCTTTAAATAAGCTTTCCAACGAGCCGTCAGTGGGCAGCAGAGGATCATTAGTTTTTCGTTAGTCGATCGATTAGTTGTGGGGGTACAAATGCATAAAATCGGCGTAGCAAATACGATTATTTAAAAAAAATTGCATGGAGAGGGTTAATCGTCAGGACATAGCTATTTTAAGCCAAGCTAACAATTCTAGCGTGGCCGGTGCCCATGGACGAAATGTATAAACATTGAAAATCACGAAAACAAGGAAAAGCTTTTTGAGTTAAATGGGTACTCTACCAGCACCAAGATGGCAGACACCGAAATGTTGTATGTTTACCAGGTTGAGTTTAGGCCATAATTTCAAGGAAAAATACTACGAAGTCACTTGGCTAGTCCCCAAACTTGTAATAAAACTAAAATAATGAAACTGAAATAAAATTATGACCTGATTCTAACCTGGCACATATACAACATTTGAGTGTCCGTCGTCCTGGTGTTCTGGAGCGCCGCTAAATGTGTACGTACATTGTTCGCAATGTAATAGCATATAGTTGTTGTAATATTTCACAAAGTTTGTAAATCATTCAGAACTCTGCTCAGCCTTAAAATATTCATGTTCACTAAAACTAACAATTGCGCATCAGAATATTTTCTTGGAGGGAACACTGTTAATAATGTGTGCATAAATAGGTATAATAGTAAAAATACAGAACTAAAACAAATACATAGCATAATTTCCCCATAAAAATGATAATACCCCTCCTCCATAGAAAATATTTCATTTACGGTTGGAAACATAGATTTAACCGCATTGTTTTAAGCATCCCTGACAAACACTCACCTGTTCAAGTCTTGTAAAATCCTATTTGCATGTCCATCAGTCTTCACTTTGATTTCGAGAGGCATTTTACTGATATTTCTAACTAATGACTCTGCAATTTAAAGCTAAATAAAACAGTTATAAATAGCCATGTAGAATTTGTCATAGGTATTCAGAAGACAATTTAAATTTCTCTCAAACATATGTCTCATTTTTTATCAGAAAAT